CTGTGGTATCAAAAGGATTTTGTTATATTATGTCTGCATTACCTGTTCAGATTTTTTATATATACGCATACACGTCCTTTTCAAATCAGCTCAGAAATTCAGGTAGTATAGCAGCAACTAAATAAGGATTTATCTCAAAAGCTATCGGGGGAGTTACAAATGTGCTGCATTTGCAGATGAACAGCTTGAATAAAGTGTGGTTTCTATCACAAAACAACTGCTGATGATTGATATGAGCAGGAAAATAAGATACTTCTTAATTAGATGGCCTTAACATTTTGTGGAAGTTACAGCTAGAAAACCATCTAGCATCTAGATGTGTGGTTTAATGTCTGTGTTGTAAGAAATAGTTGAACCATTAAATATATGTAAAATATACCAACATGCTTTTGACTAAAGACTGTCTTACATTACAAAAAATAAAAAAAAGTTCTAGCAAATATCAGTTCAATGCATGGAAGGTAAATGTAATGCCTTTACAATAAACATGATCTGCTTTCAAAGAGTAATATTTCTAATTGTAAAATAACTGTTAACTGTACAAACATCAGCAGTGTTGTAGAAAACATGGTCATCACTTGGCCAATCGTGTATCTTCTTAAATCAGATGAGACCTGAAATCAGGGAACATACTGTAAAAAGCACTTGTTATCCAAACTGTTAATGTGATGAAAAGCCAGTTTAGATATCATCAATGTTCTTCTAGGACTATGAGCTGATGCAGTATGTTTTCCAGGAAACAGCTATAAATAGGAAAGAAGTCACATTCAGGAAGAGGTAGCAACCGCAAACATTATGTGTAGGTTTCGTATTAAGTGTGTACTTTACTTCATACCATGAAAAGAAACAGGTGCACATATTTAGGTTACATACTGTATCTACAGTAGATAATACAGACAGCATGGTATCCAATGGTTAGCACTGCTGCCTCACAGCACTGGGCCCTGGGTTCAATTCTGGACCTGGGGTATTATCTTCGTGAAGTTTGTATGTTCTCCCTATGTTCATGTGGGTTTTTGCTGGGTGTTTTGGTTTCTTCCAACCCAGACCTCCAAGATTAAAGACTTTTTGGTAGAATACCAGGCTTCTGGGAAAAACAGCCCTAGTGTGACCGTGTGCATGTCTGTGTATGCCCTGTGTCCTCTCCAGCATGTACTGTATCCTGCCTTTTGCCCATTACTTGCTGGGAGGGGCTCAGGCTGCCCCACAACCCTTTACTGGAAGTAGCAGTTAGAAAATGGATGAATGGATGTACTGTAAATAATACATATTTACATAGGTATCAATTTCGCAAAGCCCACAATGGGCAAATATTTTGAAAGGAAATCTCAACTTTATAATGTCAAAATCTTTACCTTTCAGTACCCTTTGCTTCAGTACCTTTTATTTTTTTTCAAAGCCACTGTTATAATCTGCTTTTATACTCCTAGCTTCTTTCTTACCCAAATTCACTATATTTACACCTCTCTGAAGCTTCCCGTGCTTGAGTTGCCACGTCAACCAGAACACGAACAAATGGAAAGATAGAATTAAATGCAAAGGGTTCTGAGTACAAAAGAGTGTCCAAAACTATTTCTCATCTCAGAATGTTGTGAAACCATATTGGAAATTAAACTGCACAAATAAATTTTAACACAAGAAACAAAAAAAAATCCAGAATAGATTTGTAGAAATGTGAGGCTCACACAGTAGAATTATAAGTACATAGAAGCCTTAGGGAGCCTGACAAAGATATGTTTGTTTAATCATTATGCAGATTGAGCATAGTAACGCTTGAATACACTTTAAAATATTTTTGGAAGCTTTAGCAAAACTAAAGCAAAAACATAGCAAAAACAGCTATATACATCAACATGTAATGAAGAATAAATGTGAAAAACATTGGCCATTATATTTAAGCTATTTAGATACTGAAATTCCCAATGCCCCATATGGGAATTTAAGGACCTTAGTGTTTTTGAATATTTGGTCCATTGTTTGCAAGGCTGGAAACTGACTTTCAATCACTGTCTGCAACTCCAATAATATCATAGCTATTTCTTCCCCCAGTTGACTTTAAAACTCGTTTTCCATAACATTTCATAAAGGAATTTTCTGGCCCTTGCACCAACAGATCTTAGCATTACAAAGCAATTACTGACAGTCAAATTTTAACAATTGCTACAATTTAAATTTAGCCTTTGAAGTCAAGAGAAAAGTATGCCCTCTCAGCATCAGAGAGCAAAGCAGAGAAGCAAAGAAAAAAAAAGCAGTCACCATGCAGACCTGTGGGAAAATCACCTAACTTAAAGGCGGGCAAACTAGTCACAAGCTATAGAATAAGAGAGACGAACACTTAACACTTCCAAATATTCTTAGGGCTGTACTGTTCAATCACTCAATAGTTCATATTTTAGTATTTGTCTTGATGAATTGATACATTGCATAATTCTAGGTTTTTGAAGCTTAACTCCAGTATTCAGGTTAAATGTTCCTGTAATATCTGGTAATAGTTGTTTTTTTTTTTGAAGACATTACCAGAAACGCTAAATGTGCAATATGTTTATTACCAATTCAAATTAGATAGGTATCATAGGTTATAATTTATCCCTGCCAAATTAATGTTCCTCTTGATGAAGAGATGCACCTGAAAGCTGTTAAAGGTAACAGGCATCAGAAGCTCTTTACAACTGGTCCTCATTTTTAGTACACCAAAGAAAAAAGCAACTTTCACTTTCATGAAACAAACACTACTGTCAGCAGTTTTGCATCTTAAGCAGCACATTTTGATGTAAATTGCCTTTTTCCTCTTAAGCATTTATTTAAATGATAAAAATTACCATAGATTTTTTTTCTTCATGTCCTTGCATGTCCAGATGGGTTTTTTTCTCCACTATCGGACAACTGCTTTGTTTTACTGAAGGTTTCATTTTCATCCTTTCAGCTGAATAAAGTGATCGTACAATACAATAACAAATACAGCAAAATTGCAATGCTAAAAACAGAAAGCATGTCTCTTATTATGAAATTTTAATTTTCTAAGGAACTTCAATTTTAATTGATGAGCTACAACACAGTTAAAGTTGTTTTCAAGCAAAGTAATGCGAAATACTGCAGCTCGAAGTTTATGGACAACCTATGATTCACTTTGTATGTCTTGCCAGTGAAATGACAAAACTCTTTTTTGGAACACGAATAATAAGATATAGACTGATCGTGGTGAGAAAGACCATCCTTTTGAGCTGAATTTTAATAAGGCAGTGTTGCACATCTGAATGTCTGAAGGACTAGATTAGTACCAGGTGTCAAACACCCACCCTACGGTACATCAGCATCTACAGTATGTAAGGACAAGGTTAAAGTGAAGGAAAGTCTTCTGAGGTATGGGTTGAATCTCCTCCTATGACTGGCATTGCACTGTTAATAATACAAATTTTGTTTACATATTTATGAAAATAAAAGCAATATACTCTTTCAGAACTGTCATATTTGCAAAATGTGGTTCTAACTAATTTATTTGCGTGACACTTTTATCCACAGTAATGTTTGACTCCAAACATATAAACAGTTGGGTATTTTACTGAAACAATTCAAGAGGAATATCATGCTTAAGGATACAATGGCAGTGTCTCACTTGGGATTTGAACCCACAAACTTCTAAGTTACAAAACCAGAACTCCCAATACTGCTCCACACTTCTGCCCAGATGCCAAACAGCCACATACTCAGGATTTCATTCACTTATAATAGCTGTAAGTTAAATTACAGTTATCAAATTGACAGATTTGAACTTCAGTTAATACTAATTTAATTTTAATTAAGCAAAATGCCATTCCCTTTAGTGTTACAGACAAAAATTACAGTATGTCATTTTTGCTCTTGAGCAATCTGCTGTAAGCTTCCAAATGCTTCTTTTTACCTACATATTTTACCTGAAAAAGCAAAAAAAATCAACACAAACCAAAAAATATATTCTTTTAAGATGGGAAAAACACGGGGGTAAATTTCATCAATGAAATTGCATTACCTTCATTATATATTTTTTGTTTAATTATGTTCCTACAATTCTTGAAATATATGGATTAAGGAATGAATCCTCAAGGAAGCTGAAATTTTAGAAAAACTACAGCAGTATAGGATTTAGTAGGTTATAGGTAAGTTCAGTTTCATTTTGTTTAGCTTCTAATTGTGCAAATGCCACTGATAAGTAACAGAGTTTGAAATGCTTTGCTTTTTGGTAAAACCATTACCAGTTCTAGTGTAGCCCCTGACTTTGTCATTTCTTCGGTCAGTGTCCAGAGTGATGACCCATCAAAAGCAATTTTCCATTTTAATGGAAATCGCACTTACTACCAAAAGATGAGACTACATAAAACTCAATAAAATTACATTGTTACAGAAAATGTCAATTTCTTCAAATACATAAAAATATTAAAAAACACTGACCCTGTCTATAGCCTTTTAGGATGCTATCCTTCATTCCAGTAATTCTATTTTATTATGAATATCAATATAGAGTGCCTTTGCACAGACACATTACACTTACTTAATATAGTACTACCCTTTATTTTTTAGGTAAAGCTGGTACTGTACATTAGGTTAAAATTAAGAATTTGCATCACGGGATAGAACTGACTCTAGATTAACAACAGATGAACAGTCTGATCAAAGAACTGAAGATTTTTTTCTTTAATATAAAAATATAATAACCGATGGAGTGCCCAGTTTAAAAATGATACCTGTGTCACACAAGTGAGTGTTCTCTGATATCTTACAAGTCCTTTGAAGTTATTATTTATTTTTGTGCTACAGACAAAGAGCACAATCTAAAAGGAAAACAAATTTCAGGAGAATGACAGCCAAGTTGTTTCAAAACTGTGAAATTTCCCCCAGCAAATTGAACAATATGGCTAACTTCAGTAGCGCAGATCAAGAACCCCAATAAACATGGTTCACTGCTCACTTCAGGATTTCTTTGCCTCATTTGTGTCGTAGGAATTTTCCCACTTTTGGTTCCTTACCTCATACGACCAGACGCACTGGGTCCCTCCAAATCTTCGAACACATCTACCCACTTCCACATCTTCATGTGTCGTGTACATCTCCCGCAGACACTCCCCGATGTGTGGGACCATTCTTCTCAGCACCTCTCGGCTGAAGATCATGCCAGGTCCTCCCATGCAGAAGTTTTCTCCAGACTCCAGCGCTAGTTTGCCCAGCTCTTCTGTAGTACCGAGTCCAGTCTGCCCCAAGTAAAGAGGTTTACTGCTGTTCAGGGATCTAAGAAATGACTCCAATTTGTCTCCTTTCAAAACAAAAGAATACATCGTTTAGCTATATGTGTTCACCACTGTTCCAACGAATTTCCGCTTAAAGTCAGTGTTTTGGCATCTTAATTCTAAATAAACAAATAAAGGCAAATAAAACAATTCATCTGAGAGCAGAGATGGTAAATTAATAAGCCTTTTTTAGTTTTACTGTCTAGGAACAAAATGCAATACTTTTAAGTAGGGCTCTTTAGTATTGTTATAAGGTAGCTTAAACAAAATTCAATTTACTTTTTGTATGGCGTCTGTTTGAGAAAACATTAACCACATAAGGAGATCCTTTGTATTTAACCCTTAAAACATAGACATTGTATATATTTTAAAAATTAGATGGTCTAGTAGGAAACTGAACAATTGAGTTAGTTTATAACAGGCACACTTGCCCTGTTACAGTAACACCTAGTACGATGTCATCACTATAAAAAGCATAGAGGCAGCAGAGTGAAAGAAACTGAACGTACAGTAAGAGTGATAATTTACTTTCTCTTGGGTTTAAAAATCTACAAAAACAGGTGGACATGAACTAAAAACTACAAAACAAAGGCTTTTAATCAAAACCCATCTTCAAAACAGACTATATAAATGGCACTACCGTATAAGTAATTGCTTTGATCTAATACATTAAAATAGAAAATCTAAGTTGATACTGTATACAGTATATATCCTCCTAGGTTTTAACAGAAGTACTGTACTAAAACTAATCAATGAGTCCAACTGATTTAGTGCTGTATGTCATATACCTTAAAGCTGTGGTTCCTAACCCTGGTCCCGGAGGAAAAATGTCTCTTCAGTTTTTTTGCTCAAGCTGAGTTCTTAATCACGGGTTAATTGATTTCAGTTTCCTATCTGGGGCATATCTGAGAATTTGCTTTCAGCTCTTAAGCGGTCAAATGGGATTTGTAATTGTAATTATCAACCCTGCAGCAATTTCAGGGTTTCACCTGCCCTCGTTCAGGTGCGTTGCCTGATATGTAGCCAATTGTACCTCTGCAGAAGGAACAAAACGCTTATGGGAGTGCTCGGCATAATTCCCATCTGTATCTGTTCATCATAATGCGATCGACTAGCAGGAGCTGTTTAGTCACGAAAAATGACAAGCAAGTTGAGGAGGAGCCTCGCAGACGTCTGTGCAGAAGTTGGTGCAATTGATAGAAAGGGTACCCCTGAAGTGGGGGTATTTTTGACATTCTGCACTGACCGAAGAAATAACTTAAATAGAAGTCTGAACAAGAAAGGAGATCTCTGAAATCTTCAATTAGCATTGGAGATTTAGAGCTCAGCTTGAGTGTAAACCAGCAGGCACAGTGTTCCTCCAGGACCAGGAATGGTAAGAACTGCCTTGAAGAACTCAAGGGTGCAGAATGTCAAAACAAACAAGGATATATGCATTCATATATGTCCTTGCTGATTCTCAAATCCAGTGTGCACCTTTTCACATGCTGAAAGCTTACTCCAGGTACCATGCATATGTTTTATCACACTAAATACACTTCACTGGTTAATGAAAGTCCTGAAGCATGGAAGTCAAACCAGTAGATGCTTGACTTGGAATGCTACAAACCTACTGTATACTTTGAGAGATACATTTGCAGTTTCATTGTAGCCTATCATTCTAAACAGAGGTGTGAAATTTAAAACAATGTATTCATGTTTAAGATAAAAAAAGCTAAGCCATTAGCAATTACATTTATTTTGAGTTCCTTAAGAAACAATAGAAGTAGTGTTTTTGTGCACCTTTGTTGGATATTATTTAGCTGTGTTTTGTACTGCATTAAAGCTAAGGGTACTTACCTGAAATCATTAAGGTAAATGGTTGGGTGCTAAAATGAGCATGGAGTAAACTGCCTGAGCTATGGGCTCCCAAATCTGGTCCTGGTGACCCAATTGTCAGCTGATTCTCAATTCAAACAGACATTTAATTGGTCAGTTGGAGCTTTAAATGAACTAACACTTAATTAATTTAAAATCAACAGATAATACAATTAGGAATTCCCCCACTGTTTTCTGTTCTAAAAAAGACTTACTTAGGAATATTCACAGTTAAACTACAATATCCAATATTTTCAGAAGTGAAAATAATTTGAAAATGTCTATCTAGGACATGATTTGGGGCTCAATAAATAATCAACAGCTCAGCTGGGGAAAAAAACAGCAACCGTGGTTATGAAGATCTGGATGAGGAAACGCTACTCTGGACCTCTGCTCTCCAAATCTAGCTTCCAGCAGGCTGGGGGCTCTTCTATTTTTCAGGTATTTGAACTAATGGTTCACTTAACTGAGCCATTTAACTCTTGCCCAAGTAGTGATGTAAATAGACCTAAAAACTGTATTGGACCATGGCCCTCTGGGACCAGATATGTGTACCAAGAAAAAGTGTTCGAAGACCTCATGAAGTGATTCCATCTTTGATATTTGTTATAATCTGTGTGCAGCTGTATGTTTCTGAAAGCAAGCACGCCACTCCCCTCTGATCTCAGAGGTGTGCTTGTACGAACTCTTTCAGCCACATTGTTGTGGCAAAAGCCCGTAAGAAATTATTTCTGATGTATTCATTTGTTACGTTTTTGTAAGTCTCGTATGTAAAAAGGTTGTGCAAAATATATCAACATCATTGCACAAAGCGACAAACTAAGCATGCAGACCTGGGTAAAATCACAGTGAACTTCTTCTACTCCATTAAGCCAAAAACTGGAAATGCAGTTTTGAAATATATATTATCTTAAACCAATGAAGCAGATTCCGAATGAATTGTAGCCATGAAAGCATGCTGTTAAAAAGCAAGTTGCACTGTTCAGTTCCAGGATACTGCGATAATAATAATATCAAGCAGCAATAACTGCATTTCCACCCTTAATTTTAACCTAGGAAAGATAAAACAAAAACCTTACATTTAAAATAATTTATTGAGATACAATAAATACTACGCCTGCCATATGCAGCCCTGCACTCTCTCCAGATTAGATTGCTAGTGTAATACCTCTTTGCAGATAAGGCAATGTCATGAAGCCAATTAACGGTGAAGACAGTAATGGCATTTTAGCCCCCTCTGACAATATATATCTTTCCACTAAATGCTCCCATGTTCCATTTGTGTTGCTTTTGAGAATACATTTACATTATTGTCGGATGTAAGTTAAAAGCCAGCTGACTTCTATAACCCTTAAAAACATTAAAAAAGAACTTTTGTTCCTCGTTGATTCTATAAGATTCTGTCCTGTCAGAATGACCAGCCCATCAACAAGGTCTTGAAAAACCCTTACCCCCAGCTGACTACATTCAGTTGATTTAATTAATTGTTGCTGGTCTGTTCTGAAAAATCAGATTAATAATGTTAACTATTTTTTCTAGATCACAGAATTGTTGTTTGGGATCAAATACATTTTACTGTGAAATTCAGGTTTATTGAATGAATCACAAATACTGTATATACTCTACTTCAAAATAAATGCTTGACTTGTAAGTTTGAGCATCATGTGTTCTGCAAGGTTTTTTTCTAACGTTGTATTTATAACTTCCTTGTGTGTTCTGCTTATTTAACTGAAACAGGAGATAAAGCTCAACTGTGGAAACTTTTTTTTGTTCTGACCAGGGTACTCTTATGGTATGTATCCCCCCAAGCCAAGATACCTCAGTACTGTCTTAAATTAAGTAAACCCCATTTTTTTCCTGAAAACCCTGTCAATAAATTATGCAATCCGAGTTGTATTGAATAAATCTATGCAGAAGTGGCAGACAAATCCCATCATATTATCAAGTATCTGAACATCTGTACATTATTTATTATACTTAAGCAGCCTGTCAAGCACTAAGAAGGTTCAAACCAACAACATTGGGACAATTGTTTTTTTTATTTAAAAATATTGGAATACTACACTCAAATCTCAAATTAAGGTTGTGTTTTTATTTTTCAAAAGAAATATGAGGTTATTATTCATTGCAAAAGAAACGGAAAGTGAAAGTGGAAAGCTAGAGGAAATTCAACAGTTCATAAAATGATGCTTGTTTCCTTTTTGCATAAAAAAGGTCTCATACGCTACTGGTCCGTTCAACACGTAATGCTATTGACTTAGTACGTACTTTTATATGTTTTTTTGTTTTATTCGTGTAAGTCATGCAACAATGCTTGCTCATGTGAAAAAATCTGGAGCACTTTTTATTTTGTTTAAACCTAAATTAGTCACGGCATACAAGTTGCCGGTATCAACAGTACATTTACGTGTTATCATTTATGTAGCTTTAATATGTTCATCTCGATGAAAGCATATAAGCTTATATTTTATTTGCGCTAAGTTGAGTTTTATTTTAATTCAGTCTTGATAATTGTTCAAATATGCAATGACAAAGTTTGAGAGCTTCAGTGATGCTCTTCGAGAAAAAAGAAAAAACTGCTACAGATCACTGAGCCAGTTTCAATTTCAAATTCCACAAGACATAAGACTGTAAATGCTGAACTTTAACTTATTCACCTCGTATGTAGACATCGTCATCCGCCCGCATGAACCACTCGTATGTATCCAGGTAGTTGTCATGCATGTACTTCAGCATCATGAAGGACTTTTTCTGCGGAGGATAGGAGTCATCGACCCCCGGCAGGGAGACCACAGGAACGGAGATGGGCACAGGCACAATGTCAGATCCCTCGCTAGAATAGAACTCCACCTTCCCAGGAATCGACCGAGTCCATGTCCTGTGAGCGGCTACGGCTCTGGAAGCCAGGTATTTTTTAGCTGTCATGACACCAACGTATAGGAAATGCCTAGGTCGCGATATAGGTCCCCCGCCATCTCCACTGCCATTGCCAGTCCTGTATCTGCTCTCTTCCTCTTCCTCGCTTTCCTCCTGGCTGGAAAGAGTGTTGTCTTTTTCCTTCTGCCACGAATTGCTGCTTGCACTGCTGCCGATACTCTCAGCCACTTTACCGATGCCAGCCACATTACTGTAGTAAGAGCAGATCGTGGATTTCCTCTTCTTGCCACTGATTTCCAGGACTCTGGGGACTATAAGCCAAGAAGCCGCGGTAAATCCAACAATCAGCCCAAGGATCACACTCATCAAGGGTCTCCTGGACCTCACGGCCATGGTTAAATACTGTATAGTTGAAATATAGAGTGTATATTCTTTTGAAGGCTCGCCTAAGGTATGCCTTATCTCACTGAACGATAATTACTCATGACAGAACATCGAAGAAGTATGTTAACAAGTAATGCTACCTAGGTGTGAGAACATTGATCCAAACTACATCCTTAAATAACATCTTTGAAACCAAACTGAAACAAATAAATACATCCAAGGACAATACATTAAGAATCTCAAACGTCTGTCATGTAGCCGTTCTTGGAAAAAATGACTTGCTCCTTTTTATTTGTAATGTCCAGCGCAAAGGAAGAAGTTGCAATACAGACAGAATTTGATGCAACGCTGAAAGCAGGGTTCCTTTTTCCTTTCCATTGGAAAGAGTATCAGCATTTTACTGAAAGAAAGTTGGCTTCTGTGTATATCCCTCTCTTGCTTATCTGTAACTCATACCGGCGGCCAGTTTTCTTTGAATCAAAAAGTTCGAGGCGTAAGAGGGCTTCAAAGATTTCATGCTGCTAACTTAATGAATAAAAATTAGAGCTCCTAAGCTGTAATTTGCTACTTCTTGCTCAAGTCGCGCTCCTCCTCCCAGCCCGGCTCGCCATTTTGTTTACAAATTGACGTCAGGATAAATAACTCTGCTTTTCTCCGTCCCCCTTCTCTAATTTCTCGCCGTTTGGAAACGGGCGAACAGTACGTGTATAAATATTCATTGCTGTGTGAAGTAACGGAGAGACTTATTTGGGGCCAGGCAGACAGAGGGGAGAGGGAGGGGCTATGACTAAGAGCGGCTCAGGAACCTCCTCTTCCCAGGCTGCTATCCTGAGGGAGTTCTTTGAGGAGGAGAGATGCTGCATCACTAATTGCTAACCGGGTATTTAGTTAAATGTTAAAGAAGACAGGATGATAATGGAGAGGCATGAGAATCGATATTGTTTAAACAGAACAGAAAACATAGTTCTAGCCTAGTGTAAAGTATGTACTACAGCGACGCAGTAACACAGACAGGTGACTTATACACTAAGGCAAATACAACCTGTGTGTAAGAATGTACTCTCAGTGTTAAATAAATATGCGGACACGATCAAAAAAACCTACTGATGTATGCCATTAAGAAAGGAAGAACCGATATCGACTAGTGATAATGGATGTCTTATTTCCGCTTAAAGCAATACCACACACGACAGCTTTTCGCGAGATTGTTATATACAAAGTTCCAAACAAAATATTTCCCGTTTTAGCAATCGCAGTTTAAACTCTCTCCTCGGTACCATAGGATTACTTTTTGTTTATTCTAGCCTACAGAATGTTTTTCGGAGCAAATTAATGCTGATTGTTATCTTTTTTTTTCCACTTTATGGTCGCTCGGCGCAGAAAATAAATAGACCCGTAACATGTTACTGTTTTTAAGATTTTAACCTATTTCGTTTATTGCAAAGCAACTGAATTGTATTTTATGAACAAAGGCACAATATATGTTAAACAAATTCATCTATAACATTTATAATATAATAAATGTATATAATATTCGGATGTCCCCACTGTTTCACTGTTCACATGGTTAATTAAAAATAAGAATTAGTATTTTAGAGGGCTGTCAGCATCAAGAGCAAGAAGTTTCATTCAGTTACATAAAGTAGGTCCCTATCCTAACGTTTAGGCTTTTAGACGTTTATCAGAACAATAAAATGTTATTCATAGGTGTTACCTCTATACCATTGCCAGCTGCAACATTTCCATTTGATTATACGCTAACAATACTAAAATGCCACATATTAAGTAAAGCTCAGTGATAATACATTATATTTTGATGGAATGTCATTTAAAATGTGTGGTTTTCCATGCCTAATACCAATGAGTTAAAGTCCAAGGTGAAAGCCTTATCTGACACATACAGTAATAACTGTCTTGTCTTTATGGGAACACATAGGGATCAGTGCTTAGGCCACACACTTAACCTAGGATTGTAGAGAAAAATCAAAAACTGGTTTACTTCATCCCGTCTCGGAAAACCCTATTGATCCCAGAATAAGATTCTTATAAAAAGTCTTTCCCTAACCATACTGCCTCCTAATACTTCTATTGTTAGGTTCATGGCTTATTGTCTGTAGTGTTACCGTGGCTCAGAGATTAAGCCTTAAGTGCTCGCAAAATTTGAGTTACATGACAGTATAAGGTGGGAGGCACAGAAACCACAAGCAAACAAGTCCTTAACTATACTGGTTAGAAAACATATTTTTATTATATACTGTACTTGTTCTGGGAAAACTACCCTTGTTTTTCTATATGATCTCTCTCTGATTGAAGCAATTGGCTCTCGGCAATGTTACAGTACAGTACATGCAGACTTCACAAATTGACAGACATATCTAAAATGGGTTAAGATTTAATATGTTCTAATCTCTGCATAGAGCAGTTCTTGTTCTGAAGGTCTTTTTAATCATCTTTCCCATATGAACACTCTTATGAATTAAATTTAGAAACATGCATAATGAAGATATATTCTGCATACAACTGTAAGCTATTTCAATTGTTCTACATCCACTTTTAAAACATGACATATCATACCATATGTGAATGATGTGCAAACTTTTTAATATAATACAGTATGGAATGGAATATTCCAGCATGGAATAAACCTATTACTTGTTCCTTTGCAGCCTACGCATGCTGATGCAGCTACCTGCCTCAATTTTAATTATGTACTTTTCCACTAACTAATTTATGTGAACAAATGTATTCAAACATTGGTAATTTGTTCCTTAAATGTATTTGAAGATTGACAAGACATTTAAAATACTTAAAAAAATATTTTCAAATTCTAATTGTATCATTAAGATCAGTCAAAACTATCCAATAATAAATTCACTTTAAACCCAAAGTACATTCCCACTATTAAATTTCAATTATAAGGTATCATTGATTTTTTATAATAAATATATAATTTGTATGTGATACAGGCTCACTACCTCTAGTACAGTTTGCTACTTTTCCTGAGCAATTTGATGAAGATATAATTGTACTATGACTGTATAACAATGCAAATTGTTAATATGAAATTCTACAAAATATAGAAAACATAGTAAGAAAACACCATACAGATGAGACACTAAACTAAGGTTCTTGGTCGTTAAAGATACCTTGGTATTATTTTCAAGAGTAGAGATGTTAACCGATTTTCCATTTGCTGACATAATGTAGCTTACCTAAATGGCCCTATTTATATGGTCTGGTTCACCATATACTGTATCTGGTAAAGAATGGCTGCCATGCATCACCAGAGAGGATTATTTCATTGGTGGGCGATGTGGGTCCCTTCGTCTATAAGGTACTTTGGTAACCTTTGGGAATCTGTTATAAACTATTATAAACTGGAATAATAGCACAATTTAAACAGGTGAAATGTAGTTTTGTTGTATTAATTAACTTTGATGAGCATATTTTTCATAAGTTGTAATAACTGAAATACTAGGAAATTGAAAAATACAAACCAGTACCAGTACTATATAAAAGGAATGCTTCCTTATACATTTTATACATACTGTATGGTTCTTCATAGGTTTGCAGACCAACTGTGTTGACAATTCATCCAGAATTGTCAGAATCAACAAGGTTAGACTGGGAGAAACCAGAAAACAATGATGTTAATGGTAAACAACAACAGCTGATTGAGATGATGCTTCAAAAGTGAACTTGAAGTCTTTATCTGATGTATGTCGCTTTTTGGTTCTCAAAATATACGTCTTTTAATGGAATGGAGAAAAAAATTACAACATCGCTAGAAAAACATGGAAAACATTACGCAAAACTCAACCAAGATGAAAATGGTCAGAATGTCAGGGCTATGTACAGTAAAATAATTTCATTGTCATGTGACCTGACATCTGTAACAGGCAAGAGAAATGAATCTTTCCTTGGAAAGTAAGAAAAAACAAAGGTATTTTCAGATTGGAAGATTCTACCTAAGCTAAAAGAGAGGATTGATTAAATTACTTTAATAGGGGGTGGAGGTTGGTGTTGGTAGGTGGTAACTCCCTTACGTTTATCTAGTAGTGTTACATCTTTGATAGTGCAGAATAACAGGATTTTAACAAATAAATAAAAGGACATACTTTCTGTACCATTAAATTATAGTTATGAAGTATAACAACTTTCTAGGATTTCCATTATTATATGAGAAAACCATAGAAAAGTTCAACAAAATATTAAGTGTTTCTTTGTGTTTCTTTCTGACTCATATCTCTGAACACAGTGGACATAACAGAGTGTCCAATGGCAAATAATGCCACATATATACAGTAATTACTTAATTATTATATAATTAAACGAACAAGCTGCACAATTAAATTGCACATGTTAATTTTTAATCTTTGAGATTTAAAGAATACTCAGCATATTCTTGAATGTATGCTTCCAAATTTAAACAATACTCTATTCTACAATGTATTGCTGAAAATAGAAAATACATTCGGTAGAGTGATAAACCAAAAATAATTTTACACAGTGATTACTGAACCATATATTTTTTACAAGCATTGCCTGTTTAGAATATATAGTATGTTTCAGCTGTTAATTTAATCTTTTAATATACAGTAGGAGGACAACTGGAGAGAGTCTTTAACTGGCCTTCCTCCTTTATTTTGTTGAAGTATACAATTACAAAAATAGCTTGTGCAATCCCACTTCTGCTGGCTAGTTACACACAGAATTAAAGAAAACCATTATAATAATTTCTAGTGTATTTAAAAAGACAGATAATGTATGTCTTACAATAAAATAATCAATTCGAATGCAACAAGGAATATGCAAGTTAACCTTTATTATGGTCCTAGAGCTCCTTCTAGTGGTGATACTCTTTCTCGTTCACCTTACATACTGTAAAAGTTTTAGAAACAATCTTGTTAAATTACGGGAAATTGTGGATGCACACACACTTAATTCTTATGAGCTGTGACGAAAATTAATAATTTAAGACACACCTATCCTAGTAATCAAGACTTTCTTAAAATGCCTGAAATAAACGTAATTACATTAAAAAACAATAGACATACTTGCAGAAGAAACCCTCAGAAACCAGAGCATATTTTCTCCGGATACTAGAGTTCAGTTTAAGAGTGCAGATTGAAATTGAAGCTCAATGGTGTTTGTCTTCTCAAGAACTCTTACAGAAATATTGGCCATAGCTTTAGTAATCACAGGTCTCTCATGCTGACTTAGATGCTGCTCGATTGAACTACTGTATATTCATATGAAAGTCAATTTCCTAGTTCTTCTACAAAGAGATCTGCACGATTCCTGAAAGATATTGACATACAGTACATGTTAGAATTGTAGTGACGAAAGAGGACAAACTGCATCCTAGCTCTTCAAAAGCTATAAATGAAGTTTTATTTAAGATTTTTGCTTAGTGTTTCCTCCGTAGTTAAACAATGTGGCAGATAGGGTCCGTGCTAAACTGGAGGGGCTAACAGCTTTTTCCTTTAATGAGATTCACATGAATACAGTAAGCAATGAAAAATCAAGAGATAAAACATAACGGACAAAATGTAGAATATTGCAACAATTTCATATTCTGTATTATTTTGATTTTAGGGAATTATGGCACTTATTTTGATGGCTTCATTAATGTACAGTATGTATTATTCCCCCTATCATTTGTGTTGCGGTGACAGGGTTGTCCAACTTTTTCCTGTATCTGAGTGTTTACATTGCAATCCAGCTCCTAGTGAGCT